AACTAGCCCAGCACAAGCCCCACAGTTTGTGTGTTGTGCAGTTGGATCCTGGGCGCCGGCTGCTTTGCTCCTCAGCTGTGGTCAGCCGGCACTCAGCTGCCTTCACAAGGCATTAATTGGCCCTGTCTCGTTTCCTCTTTGCCACCTCCTTTTCTGGCATTTTTCTGCAAATGAGTCTTCAACCATGTTGCCTAAATTCCTACAGAACTGTCTCTCAGAGCTTGAGAGACTCATAGAATCAGAGAATCATAGAATGCTTAAGGTTGGAAGGGACCTCTAGAGGTCATCTAGTCCAATCCCCCTGCACACACAGGGACACCTAGAGCACATGGCACAGGACTGCGTCCAAGCGGGTTTTGAAGATCTCCAGAGAAGGAGACTCCACAACCTCTCTGGGCAGCCTGTTCCAGGGCTCTGTCACCCTCACTGTTAAGAATTTTTTCCTTAAGTTCCTGTGGAACTTTTGGTGCTTCAGTTTGTGGCCATTTCCTCTAGTTCTGTCGGTGGCCACCAGTGAAAAGAGGCCAGCACCATCCTCCTCACTGCCTCCCTTGAGGTACTTATAGATACTGATGAGATCCCCTCTCAGCCTTCTCTTCTCCAGGCTGAACAGGCCCAGCTCCCTCAGCCTTTCCTCATACGGCAGATGTTCCAGGCTCATCCTCGTAGGCTCTGTGTCTCAACCCTGGCCCGTCGCAGCCAGGGCACACACGATCATTTTCACTTCCTGTATCCTTCGCCAGAACTTTCCCAGGCAGGTTGCTCACAGGAGATGATCCATTCACATCTGACTAGGAAAAGGTGCTTGGAGAAACGCGAGGCTTGGAGGATGGCATTTTCAGAGATTTACACTTACTTTGCTACGTTTACTTTATGTATTCTGTGCAAAAGAAATTAGTTGGGTTTTGTTCTCAGTAGCATTGATTTTTTTTAAGGTTTTAAAGTAGTAAGTTGTTTGTTCAGCACAGTGCTCTCTTTGCTTTTATATTAATTCCAAGATATGTAGTGTGAATGTCCATGTGTATGTGAATACACACAGCAGCACAGCGGGAAAGCTGTTCTGCATTTAACCTGCAGCTGAAGGGAAATGGTTCTGGAGCTGATCTGGTGATCATGTTTATCATTCATAAGTGTTGCAGGTATATAAGGAAATGGGGATAACAGAGAAGGGACAAATAAATTATACAGACTGACTGGAATAATTTATTTCATTTCAACAAAACATCTAAAACTTTCATAATTGGTATCGTACCAAGTAAATAAAATGTAACCTTTGCAGCTTTAAATTTTAATTAGATGGGTTTCCTCAGTAGAGCAAAGGACAAGTATTTCACTAATCTTGAGTCACATAAAGAGGGCTTTTTTTTTTCCCAAGCAGGAAATGTAAGTTATAAAAACAGTAAAGTGTCATTTATGTGTCAGTTCTATTTTCTCTCTAAACTTTATTTTAAGGAAGTTACTTGTGGTGAAATATAGAACAGATCTGTGGTCTCAAGTCGTGTAATTCTTAATGTTAAGCAAGGTCTGATTACACTCAACCTTTGTGTGAATAAAATTTGTAGGAGTTTTAAAGCAATCTGTTTTCTTCTATTACTCAATTTTAGAGACCCAAGAAGCCGCCACCTCCATCAGCTCCTGTCATCAAACAAGGATCAGGTAAGGGCTGGTTGATTTTGTACAGCATGTGCCAGTGAGCACATCTCAATCTAAATATACGTGTTCAAATGTATATAGAGCCCAACTGCATCAAAGCTGATAGGCAGCAAGCGTATATACATTCAGTAAATCAGATTCAAAAATGTGAAAAGATGAAGTAACCCTGAAAGACTCTGATCTGCTTTTTGAATCTGTTATAGGCAACCAACCATCTGCACCGTTTTAAACCATATATTTTTCCCTCTTAAACCATACTAATTTGGAGCAAGCACGATAGTCTAGAGATTAATTTTTAAAAGCAAGTTCTCCAGTTCCAGAGACTGTAGTTCTTGACTTAAGTTGATGGTGTTCATGTCTGCAGTGCTAGGCCCTAAAGGTTGGAATCTAATAATATCTGTAGTAGGAAACCACATCCACTTTATAGCTATAGATCTGATCTAGTCTAGAGATAAAAAGCTTGTTGTTTTTTGTTTTTGGTTTTTTTTTTCCCCTATCATGTTAGGCAACTTGGCTCTAACTCCGTGGCCCCATCCGAGTTCCAGTTTAGATCTTGCAGATCCGTGTGAACGCTGGAGCCCAGCTGTCTGTCTCCAGGTTTTGTGCTATAATTAGACACGGGTGTTTTTCAGTACACTTCACAGGGATAAAGCTAAAGGAGTTATCTTGACTCTGACTATGTAAGCAATTGTTTTGTACATATATTAAGGGGCATTCTGAGAGCCAAAGCCACTTTTATTTGTAGTTTAAAATGAGACCTTTCAATAAAAATTTGTCAAAAGGTCCTAAGTGATTTAGATTAGTAACTTCTACAGGATCTTTCCCTCTTCCCCCACTGCTGGGAGATGTTAGGAAGAAGAAAATTAACCCAGCCAATCTAGTCAGATTTTTATTTTTCACCATGGTCTGTTCCAACTTTCAGTGCTTTAAAAAATAAATTTTCCTCACCTACAGTCTTGACCTAGTTACACTGGTACAATTTACTGTGAATCAATAGATTATAATTCAGGTAGTTTATCAAATAGTTCTTTGACTGTGAAGTCATAACTATAAATATGTTGTTTGCCTATTCTTGAGACTCCTGAAAACATAGAGGAGACTCAATTTTAAGATCCTTGGTCTAACAGGGTGACTGTCTGGAGAGAGCAGCGTAACTTTGCCATCTAGCGGTGCTTTAATATTAAAGATGTCTGAGTGACAATAAAAATTATAACCTCATGTATGTTTTGGAAAACTTCTGTAAAGGGTTAAATTTCTCCCAGCTTACACTCCTCGTATTTCCCTAATGTAAAAAGGGAAAATAATACTTTTAACTTGTTTCTTCCTGTCACATCCAACACATTTACTGTATTACTGTAGCAGGATAGCGTGCCCATTTCCAGAAGAAAAAATAGGTGTATGAGGGATGCGGTTACGTCGGTTGAGGCTACCTGTGACAAAGCCAAGGCTACTCTGCTCTGTTTTTGTAGTCTATATTTGAGTAATCCCTGTCGAATATGCATAGAAGTTTCTTTGGAAATGCCGTTAGAGGTGAAAATCATTCTGTTCTTATTACAATCCTGTCACCCTGTCACAGATACAGTCTGCCTACTGCATCAAATTATCACTTGGCCAGGATGTCACTGTGTTTTAGCACATCTGCACGTGGCAGACTCTGCTGTTAATAGTACGCAACAATTTCCAGCAAAGTCTGGAATTTTTTAGCCTGTCTGACCATGATGAATAAACATGTTGGTTGCAGGCTAAATAATTAAATATCAGTACGTTCTGATACAGAGTATAACATCAAAGCAGAGAAATAGAATGGTTTTCACTGGATGCTAGCAGCAGTTTCTTCTGTCAGGAGCAAAATATTTTTATGGCAATTCAGAAGTATTTATTGGCATGAGAGATTATACAAATGTTGCCTATTCAATAGCACAGTTATATAAGGATACAATAGCTGATACTCACCACAGATGAACAGTTTGTGTTGATGGTTACTGATTCCTAGGAACCAGCTGCAGAAGAGAGTTGTAACTGCACATTCAGAAAATGTAAATGTATTTGAGAACTGCACACAGTGGAATAGACCAAAGCAAAAAAAAATTACCTTGTGCTCCCTGCCCTACCTCTTCTGTTTTGCTTGGATGTCCTCTACTGTAATTTTTATTGAAATACTAATAGTGTGACCTAAAGCAGTTTTCAAGGCCGCTAAGTTGAAATGGTATTAGCACCTAGCAGCTAGCCAATGCAGTGAAGCCAAAATCAAGAATAGTGCTGCTTATAAAATGTGGACTAGAAGATTGCATCTCGCATGTGCCGGGAAAGCTGTGCAATATCTTCCAGTGGTTGCTGCCACTAATTCCCTTATACGCCTCCGAGTAACAGAAGCCATAGGGTTGTCATGATCCCTACTACTTACAAGGCTGAGGTAACCTCCAGGGTAAGCAGACACTTACCTGGACACCTTCAGGGAAAAAACTGTCATTTAAAACTGCCTGTAGCCACTCTGAATGCTGCTGTTTCGAGTATTCTCATTTTTTAATATTTAGAAGTGAGCAGCCGGTATTGGAAGTAAAAAGACTATTATTATTGACCTAGTGGGAAATAAAACCTATGTATTCATCTTTCTTAAGTATTTTCTTTGGCAGAAATGCTCAATTAATTGATAGGTTACAAAAGATTTTCCTGATTATTGAATTGCTCTCCAGTTTAGTATGTCTACAAAATTCAAGGACTTCTGGCCTCATGTAAAAATCTAATTACTGAAATTTTTCAGGGAATGGTGAGAATGGTAAATGGGTATGTTCTGTTCTTTGCAAAACGTGAACTTCATGGTGAAAACAAAAACATGGGGTTTCTTTTGTGTCCTTTATATCATAAGCAATTATATTTGAAAATAGATTTAGATTCATTTTAGCAAGAAATTTTCCAAGTAGGAAAATCTAAGAAGTGTAAGCAATTGCAAAATTTGAATCTTGTATAGCCTTGTATTGGGCTTTTTGGCTTGTCAGAATTCCAATTTTTCTCTTCTTTGACAGGCACAACCGATCGAAAGCATGAAATCAAGAAGATACCTCCTGAAAGGCCAGAGTGCCTTCCTAATCGAACAGAAGAGAAAGGTATGAAATGCGCTTTCCTGCCTGATTTTTACAGAAATAAAGAGATGAATGGAACTGAGAGACTTCCTCATTTCTTATTTTTTCAGTAGGTAGATTTCATTAAGAGTATTGTTTGGGTGTTTATTTTCCACCCTAATAGATCTCTCATTATATACATTTTGGAAAGGATCCCACGGTTGCTTTGAGGCTAAATGCAGAGATTTCAATTGCAGTGCGTATTGTAACAATCCAGAGGAGTTACTTTTGCTGACAGCCTCAGCAGGAGACAACGGGAGAGATGCTCTCAATACATAAAATGCTATTAAGAGCTCAGTGCTCAGTGAAATCCAGGTCCTCAGTGAAGTGAGATGCCCCATTTCCGTGCGTATTTTCATCAGAACATCACTATGCCTTGATTCTCTAGTTAAGAGGACTGATATTTCTCCTGCCTCGCAGAGGAGTTTTGTGAAGATATAGTCATTAATGCGTATGAATCACTCCAACATGATAGCAACAAACGCTCTCAGACAACCGTGCAAAGAAATAAAAAAAAAATCCATCTTCAAAGGCAGGTTTGAACACCGTGCAGAAAATGAGCCAAGGTGCCATCAAGAGCCCTGCTGAGAGATGGAAACTCTCAGCAGCAAGCTGTGTAGTACTGGGGGAAAACGCTGTACTGATTGTCTGACTGTACGTGGTGTCAAGTTGCATGCAGCTCACGTGGGCTATTGGATCCTATGGCCAAACCTAATTACTGGATTTATTAACGTTTAAGCATTTGAATTTGCAGCCTGATGAAAGGCACGTGTCTGCACGTGAGTAAGTGTGTAACGTGCAGGTGTAAGTTAGTGCTGGAACACTTGGGTTCTTCGCCAAGATCTGTTTGCAGATGAACGTCTTAGCAAGCTGGCAGGTGTTGTGTTAGCACTCCATCTACATATATTTAGCTTCAGTAATGTGCAGTGCTTGATGTTGTTTTCTTTGCAATAAAAAGCTGTGCTTTCCATTTTGGGATTTAGAAACCCAACTGTTGAAATAGTAGAAGCTTAAATATATTGTTGTGCCAGGCTATTAATATCTGTAGCTTTTTGGATTTTGAAAAACAGGCAGTAAGAGCAGGTATTCCCATCTGTGGGATACGAGGAGCCGAGAGGAAGCGTTCAGCGTGGCAGGGCAGTACGGCTGGCGTGGGAACTTGTACTGTGGCTTGTTGCAGGACCCAGCGTTGCCAGTCCTGAGCACCGAGTTTAGGTTCTGGGACACTGACTCAGCACATCTCGTCATACGAATAAGGGTGTGAAAATTACACAGGCTCTTTACCTGGCTACCCAGTAGCCCACTGGTGTGTTCGTAACCAGAGCAGCTCAAACCATGTGGTGTTTGGATCACCTAAAAGCACAGTAATAAGTTACTCCCTAATTGAATGCTATTTATTTGCTGAGTTAAAGGAAAACATTGAAATGTGTTATGCCACCATTACATTTGTTTTTCTGCTTGTATTTTCAGTATAAAAAGAAATTACTTATAATTATCTCAGCCAGAAATCTAGAAGCCATAAAGTAATGTCCTTAAATATTCCGAACACCTGTTATGTATATACAAAGATGTCTGGACAACATATGGACAGTACTGTCAAAGGAAATGGAGTACAGAAAGTGAAACTGAGCTCCCACCGAGAGCTTTGTGCCTGCCTTTAGAAGAATCTAGTTTTCTATGGTGTGCTAGATGTGTTTAGTTTCTTCTATGCTGCAAATTTAGAGCATCTCATGTACAGTAATTATTTGTGGATAGTGTACTTGATATAATCATAGGCACTGCATGTTTGGCACTGGCCTATTAATATTGTGACACTTCGCAAGTGTGCATAATCTGTTCTTAAAATGATCCAAATTTTTCACTGGGAAGGTGAAAAACCAAATATATAAGTCTGTCCTTAAACCCCTAAACAGGAGGTCTGATTTTTCAGAGAGATTTACATCTTGCACCTGCACTCGAGTATATCTGTGGTGGATTTTGTTGCTCTAACTGCACATTTAGCTTTTGGCCTGGCATTTTTGAATTTCAGTGCTTGCATTTTAATTTAACTGTATGTTACTTGAAATGCCCAGAGTTTGTGTTTTTTTTTTTTTTCAAAAATGATGCTTCTTCAAGTGTTTGATAGATAAACAATCTTTCATTATTAACATAATAATAATATCCACCATTATTATCTTTGTGCTTGTGCTCTTCTAACTCAGTATTGTCTCATAATAGAACTTGATATAAGTTCTGCTCATGGGCTATTATTCCCAGTGGAATGTAATTTCTTGCCCTGCTTTTTATTTTTTACATATGCACTTGTGCAAATGAATTTCAATTACTAATACCTGTTTTCCTCTTTTTTTTTTTTTCTTCTGGAACTCGTTGCTTTAAAGAAAGATCAGAGAGAGAGCAAAAACAGTTAGACTTGCAGAAGCCTTCAGTCCCTGCTATACCTCCGAAGAAGCCTCGGCCTCCCAAGGCAAACTCTGTGAATAGACCTGGTACCTTGCCCCCGAGACGGCCAGAAAGACCAGTTGTGCCTGTGACTCACACAAGGTATGGCTTTCCCTCTGTCCCGTGCTTTTTGGATTAATGGAAGAAAACACATTTATGGAATTTAGATTTTGCAGCTAATGTCACTGTTTGTTTCGGGTGAAACATTTTAAAGAATCTAGAGGAAAAAAAAAAACGCCCTATTAAGTCATCTCGCTGTGTCATAAGTATCTTCTCAAGACTAGTAGGTTTGGACTGTTCATTACTTGTTCATTCCCACTGCTGAACACCCTAATACTGAAATGTCGTCGTTTCCCTTGCAGAATATTTGTGAAGTAGCCATGTCAGTATGTTGTGCCAGTGTCGACTTTTGCCACCTCAAATTATTCCAGCGCAACTGGGGCACTCATTCCTGCAAGAGCTTGGTTTCTCGTACTGAGGAACTGTATTAGACAGCAGCCATGTCAGTTACTGTCAGCTTGGTTTCAATCTGTTTTCCCTGATGCTTACAGGTTAATTTTTAGCAAATTATATGCTGCTTTACTGCATGTCCTTTTAGCTGGGGCTGCTGCGGAATGACCTCTGCAGCAGTGCTGTTCTGTTGCCCTTTTGCAGTTTGTATGACATGCCTTATCAGAGGTGACTACAGCCTTTGATGAGCACTGAGGAACTGATCTTCCTAGCACACCTGTTAGATCCATTTACTCTCTACTGGAGCTGGGGAAAGGCTGTAGAAATTAATCACCTCACCTAAAGTCCTAATCAAGTCTAGGTGACTACATTATAGTCATCAGCTTCTGGGTAGAGCACTGTAGACACTCTTCTTTGCAATGGAGAGAAATAGGCAAAAAAAGAAAAGGCAGATGCCTAGAATAGGGTGCAGCACGTCATGCAGAAAGAATAGGAAGAAGACATACAGAAATAATGTTACTGCTGAACTATTAAAACTACTAGTTGTCATTGAACTCATGAAGTTCAGATGCTCTATATTAATAATGGTGGATCAAATACCCCAATGGAGTATAGGATAGAGTGGAATAAAATAGAAAACTTAGATATTGATTCTCCTTGTTGTTTCACATACGGTTCATTCAACAGATGCTCTCAGCATGAAATCTGAGGCACGTAAAGATCTGGTGCTTGACATGTGCTGCCAGTTTCATCTTACTGAAGTGCTTTGACCGTGCATCTCTGATCCATGGATCAGAGACCGTGACCTCCCTGACCGTGACCGTGATCATGACCATGGATCTTCCTGTCCATGCATTAGGGCCACAGCTTCTTTTGGACACTTTGGCTTTGAATATGCTTCTCCAGGTTTTCCAAAATACAGCCCACACCTGCCGATCACTTGGGCGTGCTTGAGAAAGCAAGTATTTGCTCTGGCCTTTACACTTAGCCGAGTGATATTTTCTTGTCGAGACCAGCGTGTTGCCTAGCGTTCAGTTTGCTGCCTGGTCGTGTAATGGTGTAGCTGTTCTTTGTTCTCTCCTTTGTCTGCATTGCTAATGTAATTATATAAATTTCTTGTTAACTGTGTAAAAAAACAATCTAAATAGTAACTGTGTTTTGTTGATAATTATCCAAATTCTGCTGTGTCTAGAATAGAAAAAAACGCTTAATTCTTTGTGTGCCTAATGTGATTATATTTGAAAGAATGTTACTTGTGACAGTAATTAGTTTAAAACTTAGAAGGAAAGCTGACTTTTAAGGTGATGATGATGCTGTTTTGAAGGGCACAAGTGCTAGCAGTTTCACTGTGAATAATTTTATTAGCTAATTCAAATTAATGGATTTGTCTCATATAACTCTTCTGTCCTATTAAGCTGTAACCTGTAGGGGTGCGTCATAGGAAGAGGGCAGAAAGTTCAGGTAATTATATAATCCTTGGAATACACTTGGAATTATTTGAATAATTAAGAATGTCAAGTGGCCATCTCCATAAGGTGTTCTGTATATTTTTAAAGACAGTTAGACTTAATAAGATAGTGAATATTTTGAGACCTTCTAAGATCCATTTCCTTATCTTTCCTGTAAGACCTAAGGCAATTAAATGAAAATAGAACCAATGGATTTTTTTGCTGGTTCTGGAGGGATAATGCTGTAGATTTCTGAAGTGATTCCCATGTGATTTCCATTGCTGCTGGTTAGCAGAAGAATTTCTCTTCTGCTGTATGTGCCTCATGCATATCACTGTATTTTCTTGGTAATAATTGTTTTTCCAAATATAATGCTCCTTCCTTGGAGGCAGGTTAGGACTTCAAGGGCAACAGGAAAGGCAAAATCCATGTGGGACACAGAAATGCTGACAGTTTGCTCCAAAGGTTGCACAGCTTTTTCCATACCTACAACTGATTATGCAGTTTACCAGCAAGCCAGTTCTCTGGGGCAGGCCAGTTGTAAAGAGCTACCAAAAAGGCATTTTTGCAGTCGGCCCAGACGGGTGCTGCCGTTGAAGCAGGCGGGCGCCCTTTCCAGGAGCCTGTTCCAATGGCTTCCCTCATGTTAGCACCAGCATTCCCGAGCTGCGCAGCCAGATGGGTCGGGGAGTTGCTCCAGATGGCCATTAATCAGTCAGCGAGGGGATTTCTGTCGGGGTGGGTTTTCTTTCAGGATGGTCACTGGGCAGCCTCGCTGCACGGGCTGTGGTGGCAGCGTGGGGAAGGGAAGGAGGAGATGTGCCCACCAGGGCTGCCTCTAGGCCCTTTGCCATGTAGATGGGCATAAACCTCGTGATTCTTTTGTTTTGTTTTATGGTGGTTTGTGTCTGTCTGTGTGTGATATCAAATGTCTTGGCTCTTTTGTATGCAAACTGTAAATGTTGTGCTTTTCAGCCCAAAGTCACACCAACTTAAGCATCTCCTCCAAAACAGTATCCACTGCTGACTCATGTGATGCTCTCAGTTGTCTGGGAAGTATGGATGTGCAAAACAATACGCAGTCAGGTGCTCATTGCCCATGCCAAGCAAAAAACTGTGCTGCTCTGTAAATATTTACAAATATATAAACAATTAAAAAATGAAAAACAAAGATATAGGCAAGTCACTTGGTCAGGTAGATCAGTTGGAATGTCCTCATTTATCATCTTAAATATGAATCTGTTGTACTAGAAACATGTTGAAATTCCCCTGTCTTTCTTGATGCGAACTGTCTTGATAATTATTCAAAACTAGCTTGTTCTTCAGGTCATGAAATAGCTGCCCATCTTTTTGGGGTCTTAGAAAGTGTCACCCACCATGGCATTTCATTGGATATAAATTCACTTAATATGTGATCTCCTCTAGTTTTATAACAAAATGTCTTTTTTTTTTTTCCTCCAAATCTATCATAGCTGCCCTAAAGTCTGAAACTAGATTTGCAGAGACTTCATGTTTGGCTTGTAAACCACAGAGTTCAGGTGGTCCCTCACAAGATTTTGGCATCAGAGGCAGAGACAAGTGACAAGTGAACAAGGCTTGGAAGAAGACGTTTTATTGTCTTGTCAGTGGCTTATTATTGCTGTCTTGAGGAATACCTCATCTCCCTGGGTTGTTTCAGGAACAAGCCATATTTTTGCCCAAAGCTTGTGGTTTTGTGTACATCATATAACTCTTTGCAGCACTATGCTAGAGAGATTTATTGTGGAAAAACTAGTGTTATTTGCTGAGCAACCTGGTAGTGTTTCCTGATGGTAAATACAATTTATTGCATTAATGGAACTGTTATAATCTCAAAATATCGCAGTAAATGTCAGAGAGATTTGTATGTGTGACCTGTGCAATGCAGAGTGAGTTTCGGTAGCCGAGTTATTTCTGTAAACTTGAATAGCTGTGGGATAGAAAGTTCCATAAAGAAAGAAAAATAATGGTGCTTGTGTATGAATTCCTGTTAGATTTAAAAATAGTTCCTCCCTATAAAGTTTTGCAGCTTTTCTGGCGCTTGTGTATTCCAAAGTCTTTTTTCAGACAGACTCAACGATCTTGTTTCCCTGGACCTGTGAAAACAGATTTCATAGTCTGACCACATCAGCAATGTGCAAAAAATAAGTAAGAATCTTTTATTGATGAAGGAGCTTCATTTATGAGCAAACACAAGGAAATGCTGAAACACGTGATCCTTGCCAGGAGTTTCTCTGTAGTATCCTGGGTCACCCATTGCTATAGATTTTGCAAGCCCATTAATTAGAAACAAGTACAAATCAGATGTTGAAGGATGTCTCAGTGCCCTTAGCCTTCCTTCACGTGGAGATGCTGCAAACATTTGAGGAATTATTCAGGACATTACAGTGTCTAAAATAGACTTTTTTGACAGGTGTTACAGGGAAATGAGACAAGGTTAATCCGCAGCGCATGTCTGCTTACCGGAGGTTGCTCTCCCTGCCCGGGTGATCCTCACTCCAGTGCTACAAAGGGGGAATATTTCCCTCTCTCTTCATTAACTGTGAGTTAGCTATCGATTTGCTGTAACCCCAAACTCCAGTAAAATACCTCCTCTCGTTTTTCCAAATGCAGGAGCGATAGTCCGAAAGTGGAGTTAGCAGGCAGTGCGGCGCCAGGCACTCTCGAGAAAGACTCCTCCGAGAGAAGCAACGACATTGGTGAGTCAAGGGGCTTTTTTTTTCCAGTTTGCCTCAGAAATTCATGACGCGAGCATCAGCTTCTTAGTGACTTTGTTATGCTCCAGATTGAGGATTTGGCAACGAATGCAAAGGAATTTGTGTCAGGTTTTAAGTGTAGAATTAAAGGAACATTTTGGTTTTACTCATTTTGTTGTGTTTTTTCTGCCTAAAAAAAAAGACAAACAAATGTGAAATGGTGAGATATTTTGAGTGGGAGGGGTTTTTCTTATTTCTCGAGACCTGTGGGAAGGCCAATAACAGTAAGTCATACTTATTTAACAGATGCGATATTAATGCTGCTGCATTTTTAATGTTTTAACAGCCTGTTCGTTTGGTGCAGTTAAAAAATAACCTGTGCATTTCCTAATACGAAGGTAGAGAGATTAGAGAAAAAAATCTATTTTACTTAGAGCACTGAGTGAAAAACTACCTGTTTCTATTTAAAACGATAACTTGTGCCCCTGAAACACAAACAGCTCTGTGGGAATGCAGCACCTCGGAAGGAGGAAAGGTGGGATGTTTTCCTCCCGCTCTCGCCCTCCTGCCCTTTGGCGCTTGCCGTCCAGCAGCGACGCTTCCCGGAGGGTGAGCAACGCACTCAGTACTGGGCTGCGGCCCAGGCCAGGGCGGCCATTTCAGGGCACCCAGCCCAGCCCCACTGTGGCACCTGCTGCTGCCCGTCTGCCTCAGACCCAACAGCTACCGCAGCCCCAGCGACCGCTTCTGCAACGGCTGCTTCTGCCCCGGCCCCAATGGTCACTTCTGCCCTAGCCCCAACAGCAGCTTCTGCACTTCTGCCCTGGCCTGAACGGTCACTTCTGCCCTGGCCCTGATGGCTGCCTCCGCAATGGCCGCTTCTGCAACAGCCCCAACAGCCTCTTCTGCAACGGCCGCTTCTGCCCTGACCCCAACAATCACTTCTTCCCCAGCCTCAACAGCCACTTCTGCACTTCTGCCCTGGCCCAAATGGTCACTCTTGCCCTGGTCCAAACGGTCCCTTCTGCCCTGGCCCTCATGGCTGCTTCCGCAATGGCTGCTTCTGCCCCAGCCCCAATGACCACTTCTGCCCCAGCCCCAGCAGTGGCTTCTACCCCAGCCCCAACGATCGCTTCTGCAACAGCCCCAACATCCTCTTCTACAATGGCTGCTTCTGCCCTGGCCCAAAGGCCGCCTCTGCAACGATCACTTTTGCCCTGGCTCCAAAGGCCACTTCTGCAATGGCCCCAACACCTACTTCTGCCCTTGCCCCAGTGGCCACTTCTGCAACAGCCCCAAGAACTGCCTCTGCAGTGACCGCGTCTGCCCTGACTCCAGTGGCCGCTTCTGCAACGACCGCTTCTGCCCCAGCCCCAATGGCTGCTTCTCCAATGGTCGCGTCTGCCCCAGCCCCAACGGTCGCTTCCGCAACGACTCCGATGGCGGCTTCTGCAATGGCTGCTTCTGCCCCGGCCCCAATGGCTGCTTCCACCCCGGCCCCAATGGCCGCTTCTGCAACAGCCCCAAACCCACCTCTGCAACGACGGCTTCTGCCCCAGCCCCAATGGCTGCTTCCACCCCGGCCCCAATGGCCGCTTCTGCAATGGCTGGTTTTGCCCCGGCCCCAACTGTCACTTCTGCTCCGGCCCTAACGGTCGCTTCTGCCACAGCCCCAACAGCTGCTTCTGCGACAGCCCCAAACCCACCTCTGCAACGACGGCTTCTGCCCCAGCCCCAATGGCTGCTTCCACCCCGGCCCCAATGGCCGCTTCTGCAATGGCTGGTTTTGCCCCGGCCCCAACAGCCACTTCTGCCTCGGCCACTGTTTCTGCCACCCCTGCTGCCTTCCTGGGCAGCCACTGCCCTAGAATATGGATATGTATAAAAACATGGAAAATACTCGCAGCAGCCAGGCCTGCCTTGTCTTCGCACCCAAAATGTGCGATCTTTAATCGATCCATCACTTTTGATTAAAACGTATTAAAAAAAAAGTGCTGAGTTGGGGTCATGAGCTTTTACAGTATCCGTATGTCTGCTTTTTTTTATTTATTTATTTTAACCTTCTGCTGTTATGATGACAATGTTGTTCTGGAGAGTCAAGTAATATGCTTGTTTCTAGATTTTTATTTGGGGTAAACATGGAAGCTGAGAATAAACTGCTTGAAGGTTTTTGTTGTAGAGCTTAAACTTAGCGAATGGCATGGAAGTACAGTCAAACTCTACCATTTAATGCTTATTGCCCATTTTTATAAGTTCGCTTCAAAGCTTGTAAGCCTGTGTTTACTTAGGAAGCTATGAATGCGAATGGCATGAAACAGTGGGATGAAAGATATTATTATTGTTGTTATTATTATTATTACAGTTTTAATTTATTTGCTCTCAAGATAAAAGCATAAAGGTCTGTAGTGTTTCTTTATTTTTTATTTTTTAACAAAACCTCCTGAAGGATAGGTAGGATATTTGCTGTAGCCTAATTTTTATTCTTTGCAGCAGTCACTTCTTTATTGGAGAATAGAAAGCCAGCAAGAGTCCGTAAACCAAACCCCATTTAGAGCATGTTGCAAAGGGCGTAGCTGATGACCTCCTGCTACCACTAGTAAGGAGAGTAAATTGAGTCTGCGGATAGAATGGTGTGAATACTCAGATGAGCATAACATGATAGGGTCAAACAAGATGGCATTTGCAAGGGCAAATCATGTTATTCCAGCCTGTTAGACAACTTGTTAAAAGAAAGAAAAAAAAAAAAAAGGAGTGAAGTTGACCTAAATATCGTAACTGCTGTGGATTTTTAGAAGGCTTGTGATGGCTCCTGTAAAATATTGTTAGACAAATAAACAGCCTTTCAACAGAGGGCAGAGCGATAAATTAAAGCTTCATGAGCCAAAACAATTCACAGTGGATTAATGTATTTTACTATGCGAAGAGGTTGGCAGTTGAGGACAATTTATGGAGTAGTGTTATTGGAAAGACTTATGATAAGTGTGTTAGGTTTCTGATTTATTAATGAAGAGAACAGTAGGTTGGTGAAATCTGGTGCGTAAATGAGATACCGGTAATGATGGATGACTGAGTGGAGTCCCGTGTATTCGGACCACTGGTGGATTGGGCAGGGTGAGTCCGTAATAATATGTAACTGTGTATGTGTTAACACGTGTTGCCCTAGCATCACACATTCCGTGGGGAGGGCAGCCCCAGCTCTGACTGGAAGGTTTGTCCTTCTGGTCAAATGGTGTGATTAAATCTGGTCTTTTCTTTTCACTAGTCCAAATTCAAGTTGAGCTGATTACTGTGAGCAATACACCAGAGTTTAGGAAGTTTTGGAGTCAATGGCATGTTTAAGCACATAACCACACATCTTTAAAAAACATCTATAACAAATTTTACTCAGCTTTACCAACAAAGACAGTCACAATTGCATGAGTAGGGCAGATGCCGTGTATAACCCTCTGGATAACATTCTTTCAGTTTCCTATCTAAAAAGTTACTTTTGTGTAAATGGCAGCGCATGGCTTGATTTCACTAGTCTGTTATACAACTTAACATTTCAAACTCTTGATGATAATACAGCACTCGTTACAGTTTTGCAATTAGTATTGACCAGGGCAAGTCCTGTTCAGCAACACAACCGCTGACTGTAGTTACAGTGGCAGCTATTACTGCTGTTGCTCTTGCCTTTGCTTCTTCCATAGTCCTTAAAAAAAGTTGGAAAACTAGCCTTCAGAATATATTGTGTAAAATGAAAATATTCCCTTTTTCTCCTCACTTCTTTTGTTTTCTTTTTCCCTGTTTTTAGTGATGCCTTTACTTTCCTTTCCACACATATTTCATCCAGCTTTTCCTATTTACATCTCTTTGCCATGGGTAACTCTTCTTCATTTCATGAGGGTAAGGCTTCTTTTTCTGTTTCTTTTCTATCCTGCCTTTTCTTCCACTGACAATGAATAGCTAAAAATTTTATAGACAACCTAATGTGTACTTGACTCTTGCAGATTTTTAAAATGAGGAGTTGTGGTTGAGTGTACTGTAACAGACAGTCTTGCACTATAGCATTGACATGGAGTATAATCATTATAGTTTCTGTTATTTTGCCATTAAAAATGTTTGTGATCTATGTGAAGTATACAGTCTGCATGTACTGCTTGTCAAGGCATGTTCAGCAATACATTCTTACAGTCAGATGATACCATCACAACATTTAATGTATATATTTTGTTGGGATGTCTGTACATGTTACAGAAGATAGCAAAATTCTAGGCTAGTTTTCTAGTCCAAAGTAGGAAAAAATAAACAAATGTAGAAATTTGAAAAGCACTCTGGTTCTTAGAGGGACTTGCACTGCCATGCAAACAATGTGTAAATGACTTAAATTCACATAACTGGACTTTAAGATTCTATATTTTTAGTTTCACAAAAAATTATTTCTGAGGGCTAGTGATATGACCAAAAAAAGCTTAGTGGATCAAACGCTAATGCTTACAGAAAATTACTGAATTATTCCAATTAATTAGAGGTACTGAGTTCCTTCTGCAATATAAGTGAAGATTAATCCTAATTCTTTCAATTACACACACGCCATGGAATACTGCAGTCCCAATAAAAACTTGCATATCCAAAACAGGATTGCTTCGAGAAAGCATTTAAAATCTTATTCATCTAAGTAATTTAAAGAATAAGCCAGGAACAATTAAAAATAATTTATGTGCTGTGGAAATGCTCAGTTAATCCGCACAAGAAACAGTCTCTGCGCTTTGCAGAAAGGCTGCGCTGCATGGGCATTCCCATGCAGAGCCAAGTGAACCCAGCTTTGCAGTATTTTCCTGGCTCTTTATAGATTTTGCATATTAGTTATAAAAGCAGTTAGTGATCTTCAGCAGTGTTAACAAAAGGCACATAGGAATTTGTTGATTCCCCCTGAAATGTAGTGTTGGCACCATTTTTTAAGAGAGTCCCTAAAAACTGGTTAATATGAGGACATTTTTGAGAGTTTCTCAGACTTCAATCTTGAGAGCCCACCCTGAGAGCCCTCCATGGAGTACCTGCTGGACCCATGATGTTGTTAGCCTTACTCTTTTTCTTTCTCTCCCCCCAGCTAGCTGCCTGGAAAAGTAATTAAAATTCTCTACTTTTGAAAAACATGGCAAAAAAAAAATCTGTATATATAATCTGTATCTTGAGCTGTATCTCTAGTTATTCCAGACTTATTATAAGCTCATATTTGTTAGCAGAATGATCATTGTTGCTCTGAGTGGTAGAAAAAGTGATCTAATAAGATTTGGCTCACGCTAGGGAACAGTCTGAGACTCTTTCCAGTAAAAAAGTTGTAGAATGGAGCATTTTTGTGTTTAAATTCCAAGCCCTTATACTGTAAGACATGGTAATTATTTTGCCTGAAGAGACAAAGTAAAATGTGGAGAAGGCAAAATACTGGTGCATGCAAGGGGTTGAGGGCAAACTGTGAATTCTATAATGAAGACAGAAATCTGCCTAAAACTTATTTTCTTCTATGTTACTTTTCGTATTCATTTTAATATAGCAAAGCAAAGGAACAGAATTACACAAGTGTGTTAAGTTGTAATTTTTATGTCAATGAATTAATATTGCCCATAAATATAGATGTGAATTGTAAATACTGTAATCAGGGATATAGTAATGGTCCATTAAGTGATCTAATTGGGTTTCTTGCCCTGGAGGGTCTTGAAAAAGGCAGTAAACCAGAATTATAAACTGTTCTCCATGCGTGTCAACTTGAAGTGCCTGAAAACAGCATATCCATTTCTTCTAGCTCAGTTTTCCTGACCTTTCTGTTCTTCCTTGGCATGTTCTGAATCGTTAAAAATAAAATCCTTATGAGGACACTGGCAAGTGGTTAGCAAAGCTCATTATGTCAACTTTCTACATTCAGCTCTCTAGCTGACAAAACTCAGGGTTAAAATGGGGACAAAAATGTGTACCCAGCATCCCAGGTACATTGCAGCTGAACTCTGAAAACTCCTCTGCTACAACCCAAATTTTAAAATAGAGTCTGCCGTTAATGGATGAGATTCTGCTCCCCTGCCTCTGTACAGCTGTATTTGTTGAAGGGTAAAGGGCTGCTCACCATGGGGAGGGTGGCCCGCTCTGGGCACTTAAGTGCTTAAAATAATTGTGGTCTTCTGAAAGTTCACAGCAGGTTCTTCACTGAGTTAGTGTTTCTTAATTAGTGCTGTGTGGTGCATGGGCATTAACCAGCGCAGGTGATTCCAGCTGCAGTATCTCCATCTCTTCTATTGCATGCAAAGCTTTCAGAAATAATGTATTTAAAGAGAGTATACCATTTCACTGGCCTATTGCCAATCTTTTAGATGTATTGAGTATGCTGATGGAAAGAAATCTACCTCTGTAGCTTTTACGACATTATCTTCTTCAAATGAATTGAGAGCCACCTTTGCCTCATTTATTCCAGTTCTGCTGCATTTCTGTCCTATGAAACCTAGCCGTTAGCGTTGGGAATATATCGGTTCGGGTGTTATCGATGGCTTTCCATTTGAGTTTACTCAAGGTGAGATCTCTCTGGTAATGCAGAAAGCTTTCCATCTTCATCATGTTTGAATGACTTTGTCCAAAGATTGAAAACCCTTACTTAAAGGTAAAATGAAAGCCTAGCCATGTTTTTTTTGTTTGTTTGGGGGGGTTTTGGCCAAAATATAAAGATGAGCAAAGGGAGGAGGAGTAAGCAGAACCATTTAACTTTCTGGTTTGAGGTGTTTTTCAGAGGGATTGAAGGTTATTTTATATGCAGGTATAAGTCTTATGAGCTCAGAACTTGGAACTTTTTTTCCCCAGGTAATTGTGTATTTTTGTAAATCTGGATATTTCTTAAAAACACCATAATCATTTTTAAATACTCATGTCACCAAATGAACACAGCAATGGAGAATCGTGTCCTGTTGTTAACTGTCATGGAAAGATACCAGGGAATAATTCTTCCACAACTAATGTTTTTCGTTTTCATTAAATAGCTTTGCCCAGTAAGCCAGATATTTACTCATAAATTAGAACTGCGCTGATGTCTTTCTCCCCATCTTGTAAATTAGGTTAAGAATTACCAGCTTGACTAGCAAGACAATAATAATGATAAATACATCTGTTTATCTGTAGAATTAATATCACCTAATTAAAAATTAGGTGATGTCACTGCTATTTGAAGGGTGAATTCTATACATTCCATAGAATATCCTTCACCATCTTTTATTAAGAGTAGGGCAAGTTGGTCCACTGGATGCTGATGGAGCCTGATTGGCAATTGCTATGACTTTGAGTACGGTTAATGGGACTTCTTTTGAATGGCCTCTTCTTGGGTTCAGCCCAGGGAGGCTGTACATTTTGCATGGCTCCTAGATTTAAGCACCCACTTGCTGTTAGCTGCAGAAATGCACATCAAAGTCAGATGTCTGCATTTAATGACCCCAGTGAATACAGTATAGTCACAGCTATATAGTCTTACTCTCCGCTAGCAAAAAATAGTCAGTAAAATAACCAGCATAAGTGGATTCTCTGCTAGATTGGCAGCGTAGATGACGGGCAAAGGTCTCTCGCATGATTGTGTTCCTCTTTCTGCCTTACCAGTTTGCTAGATGAGAATTTCTTGAGTGAATAGGTCATAGGTCATAAATGTGGAAGGTGGTGATAATCTCGGATGCAGAGAGGATTGGGAGAGAAACATGACTCTAAACAGGGAAAACAAAAAGGGCGGAATAAAGGGCATATGGAAGTATTGGAAAATGGTTCTCTATTTGAGCCAATTTGAACCCTTACAAGGGGAGTTGTTGGGTTGAACCAACAGTTGAACCCTTACATTTAAGTATATTTTCATTTATAGTATCAGCTGAATGTCTGTGATTTCACTGGTTTGGCAGCGGGTTTCACCCGTGGAACTTTTCCAACCTCTTTTTCCAACCCTTTCTGCTCTTTTTAAAATTCATTGCAGTTCTATCTAGACTGCCTTAGTGCTTGTTTGGGGTTTTCTTTTTTTTTGGCTGGGGTGGTGGGGGGAGAACTATCAGAAATGCAGTCAGAAGTGGAAAAAAAAGGACTACTGCTAGATTTCTTGCCACTGCTGCTTGATAAGAAAAGTTTTGTGCAGGAATGTTTGTGTTTCAAGGTATTCATGAAGTGTGCAAAGCAGATTTTGTTCGCAAATGTTCAGTGACATGATGGGCACAAATGTATACCCTCTTTTGCTGTCAATCAATGCATTTTTAGAATTGTAGCACAAATATTTTAGTATTCTGATCAAGCATAGAATTTTACGTAATGATTAATCATGGGAGTTTCAAGCTTAAACTTAGAGACAATTTGAGCCAATTTACTGTCCCCTGGAGAGGTGGTCTCTTTGCCTCACTTTTTCAGCTGCTTATATCAGCTCTCTGTGATTTCCTTCTCTCAGCACAACTGCTGTTGTGGCCAGGCACACATTGGTCAAAAATAAGATAGATTTAAACTAATTTGGAAAAAACAAATTGTGAAAATAAGGTGAATTTAAACTATTTTTTTTTTGAGTGGCTGGGGACAGAGGAGAGGGTTGCTTACGCCAGCATTTTTACAGATGTACGCATGCTTCAAGTGTTTATACACCCCAGTTTATATTTTTGATAGTGATATTTTCTTGCTGTACAACTTAATAAAGTAACATAGGGTGAGGCAAACAAAGATAATTTATTAAAATATTTGTTATTGATTTGCTGTGTGATGTTAAGCAAGTCGTTTAGCCCTATCAGGCCTCGACTTCGAACTGGGTATTACTGGAAGGCAACTCTCCCATGTGGACTAAACTTTTTCCAGAGGATAATTTTTTGACTTCCATACCTCTTCTCCCCAAATCTTAAATTTTGTGGGACTCTGGATAGGTTTTGTATAATCTGTTAGGGTGATCTCATTCTTAAGAGAAACCACTGTAGCCTGACCTGATCTGTGGCTGTATCTGAAGTTTTGGCTCTGCAGTGGTGGATTTTATGGCATAGCTTAGGATGGAGGCTGCAACAGTGAAAAAACAAGCAGAGAGAGAAATACCTGGTAGAGGGCTGAGCGGTCACTGGTTATATATAGGAAGAGTTGCTCCAAAAATAGAGTGGTGTTTGGAGGTGAAATACCCTAGACTATTTTAGGGCTATTGAAAGAAGTGTCTCTCTTTTTTTTTTTCTCCTAGGGATGAAGGAATATTACTAAATAAAGAGTGTCTGATCCTTTTTTTTTTTTCACTCCTAGCAGCCAAATCATGAGTACTCAGAATCAGAAAACTTGAAAACAGATACTTTCTTGGCCTGTTAATGGGTTTGTTTTTCCATTGTGTAAAGTTGCACAGGAAGTTGTAATGGGGCAACATATTTTCAGAGACTCGCTGGTTTTTAATAGTTCTGAAAATTATGTGCTCAGTATGTATAAATATTAATGGCTGTTTTTTTTCCTACATGTTGTGCAGTAAAAAAATAGCCTCTGAATAATAAATAGCCTTTCAGCATTTGATTCACATTTGAAAGCAGTTTTACTGACCTTTGGATGTATTGGGTCTTTAGTGTCTCTTGTAGGTTTTCTGTATAATTTCTGCCTACCATATGCAGCGGAGTATTTTGAAACTGATACAGCTGAAACTGATACAGCCCCTGAAAATAGCTGAATGGTGTTAAGCCACTTGATTGAGGCAGGCGTTCCCGAGCTGCGTCATTCCTTCAGCCATCGCGCTGGGCTGTCGCGCAAACACGCTACCATGTGCCCGGGCCAGTGAACTAACGCTCCCCCGGTGTATTCCACTAAGCATAAAGGCAGCCAAGACTTTATTCTGGCAGACCTGGCTTTCCTAGGCTCTCCTTCCGTTTCACGA